TATACCCCATAAACCTCAACAAAACAGGATTCAATCCTTAAATATCTTTTAAAGATAACACAGCTATATTTTCTTGTTGAGGTTGTTTTATAAACAAAACTGCTCCTCTTAATCTCTATCAATACTTTTTATAAGAGACCACTTTTGAACTTTTCAGGTGTAGCTTCCTAATACACATTTGACTGGATTCATCAATCTGATAAATCAATTAAGTGATGTTGCAAAGAAATGATGTTGACACATACACACAATATGACATTGACTGCACACAAGATACCTGTAGATTTTCCTGCTCATCTGTGTTTTGATATTCAGATTGCAGAGCATCCACCTGTCGTTGTAGGTCTTGAATTCTGAAGAATAAAAAAACGAACAATATCCGTAAATCAAGATGTTTTTAACTCTGAATTAATATCATAATGCATGTTCAATATTTGCTTTGGAGGAGTTTATTCTGTAACTGATTTTACAATTCTGTAATTGTTTTTGTGAATCCAATATTTTGTAAAGAAACATTATGCCAGAGGCTCTTTCAGACAAGAGTATATATATGAGAGGGAGGGAGCCATGAGGTACTTCAAACTGATAATAATAACTATATGGGTGTCGTGGTCTAAAATATTTGTATTCATGTCATGTGTACTTGTTTGTAATATTTGTACAATGGGTCTCAGGCAAAAATGTTTATTCTGGAATAGCCCTTATCATATTTTCATCAACATCAATACCTTTTTCTTCTTGAATTTTCCTCCGTCTTTTTGAGGTTTAAATCATCCAGAATTTCATTTTGCTGAAAAAAATGACAGGAAAAATATTCATGCAAATATCTTTGCTTGTCATGCTAATTTTCCCCCAGTAAGTATTAAAATATATCAAAGAACTTTCAATGGTCAAAACATCTAAAATAAAAGAGCTTATTTTTTCAATAGTCAAAATCCTCAAAATGAAAACTTTTTTTGGAGAATTCACTTTAAAACAAAACCAGATGAATACAAGTAAAGCGTTCGGGAAAATACATATCTTTGATGAGATATTTTTCTTAACAAATTAATGTGAATATTTGTAAATGATAACATTGCTTGAAAAGCTCCCTACAGAGTTCTACGAGAGCTAAATCGAACTGATCAAAGCATTTATTTAAATGATAAAACAGTTCAAATGAATATTTCTGTCTGGTCAGAATAACTTGTAGCTTCAGCATTACCTTGTCAGTAGCTGCTTCTATCTCTTTGCTATTTGCCTGGGCTTTTGTTGCAAAATCTCTGAGGCTGTTCGTCTGAAATATACTCCATGCTTTAACATTTCTACGTCTGAAATATACTCCATGCTTTAACATTTCTAAAGAGTTAGAGTCAAACTTTATCAGAAGACATGTTATGGTGATATTATGATACCTATTGTCCTACATATGAAAGAGTGACTAATCTCAACCAAACACAAATTTCTCGATACCAATGGACACTATATGAAAAAGAAGCAACTCCTGATTCCAGGAGACCTGATTTACATCTAAGGGACTTCTGTATACCTCTTGGGTGTCCTCCTGATAGAGTTTAAATAGGTGAAGTTTTTTCTTTATTCCTGAATTATAATGGGGGGGGGTAACACTTTTCACAGAAATAATCGAAGATCTGCATATTGCATATGAACCTTTGATTTTATTGCTGATAATTTTTCCATTCATTATAAAACATCTGGTCCAATCCACAACTTGGGAATGAATCTTGAATATTTCTCATCTGAACACATGCATTTCAATTTCAGAAATATTTTCAAACTGCAATATACTAATTAAGCTTATTTTGAATTAGTCACCTTCTGTTTCATTTGTAAATCAGCTTTTTCTTTCTTTGCTGCAATCTCGTCGAGTCTTCTCTGCAGAGGCTCAAACTGCACTTTCGCTTGCTTCAGTGAGTCCATTTTGCTGTCTCGATCTCTTTTCACTACATCATACGCTTTCCTTTTTTCATCGTATTCCTATAATGTAAATACTGTTTTTAAAGCAGGTTCGAGAGCTGTGTTTTTGGGATTATATAAAATATCTAAAGCAGACCTATCTTAATCTGTGATTATTTTCGTTATTTTTT